GCGTAGGCATACAACATTCAGAACTGACCTTTAAAATAACTATATTCTAAATTTTAATATAAATAAGTCATTATAATCATAATTTATAAATTAATATATATATCCCAACTTCTCACAAACAGAAATACTACTTGCAAATTAATCCTGAACTGAACCACACTACAAATTGTGTTTCTATCAAATATCTTTAGGTGTCTCTTAATTATCATATGAAAACAGATGATGTCTGCTTTTTCCCTTCAAAAATCAAATTTTTATTTGCTAGACACAATCAGAGGATCTGCAGAAGATAACAAAAGGCTATGTGAATGGACTGAGACTTGTACATGAATACGGCTAAGGGCAAAGCAATGCCTTAAGGAAAAAATGATCCAAATGATATGCATTAGGGGATGACCTCCAGTCTACTGTAATAAAGCAAGAAATGAACACCATCACAAAGATTACTGAACATGTCAATCATTGCTCATCCCATCCTCAATGTTTATGAAGGCTTACTGTGGTCCCTGCATTGTTCCTACTCATGATAAGCTCACAAACTTGCTGGGGAGGTTAAAAAAAGAAGACAACTGGAGAATCATTAAAAAATACAAGACCAACTTTTATGTAAATAAAGATTCTTTTATGGAAGTAAAGTATCAAGTGCTGACTAGCCACTATGGCTGACTAGCCTACTCTTGATCACTAACTAGTCATGAATTTCAAAACATCTGTTAGAAGAGATACTCCTAAAATTGGACTTTGAAGGTATGACATGGCTAGATTGCTCCAAGCAGTAATTGCAGTAATTCAGGAAAAGCCCGAGCAAGGGGACAGAGAAAGGTGTGTGAACCCCAGAGACCAGCTTGCTAGGGTGGGGCAAGGGCTTGCACCAAGGCTAACTGGTTGGTTGAACAGGTTACGTGGGGCCAGGTGACAGACGGCTTGAATGTTAAATGACATGTCTGGATTTGAGAAACAATAAAATTTATTAGTGTGTAAGGAGCATAACCCAATATTTAAGCATCATAGTTGCTTCCTGATAGTTTACATCAGCAACTCCTCAAATTAGTTTAACTGGAAAGACATGTACCTTATAAAATCAAATTATATGCATCTTGGAAGAGAGAAAAAACATGATTTAACACTGCTGTAAATGAAATTAATATTTTCTGTAGGGACAAAATATTCAAACTGAGTGTACCAGATGATTCCTTTAGATCATAATTTAAATGTTTGAGTTCCATTAAATCTAGAAGGAATATTGGGCAATTAAGTCTTTTTAATCTGGAAAGATGAAGACTGAGCAGAGCTGTGAATTCATAAATGGAACGAACTTTATCTTTAGAGTATCCAAATTATTTTTTGCATATATTAGTTCATTTGCCCTTCACAGTCACCTTATATGTGGTAGGCAGAAAAGATATTTTCATCTCAATTTTTCAGATGAGAAATTGAGATGCCAAAAGGCAAGTGGCTGCCAAGTCACGCAGCAACCGGAAGCCAAACTCTGGATTCTCGGCATTCACAGAAGATGAAAACAGACTTTTAGTTCCACAAAATTTGGAATATCCGGAGGAGCTGGGTACATGTTAAGACTTCAAAGACAGAGTTTACAGTAAACATTTATAAAGTATTCTTTTTCCTAGATATGGAAAAAGGTAAGAATAAACAAAAATCCTGAATTACAATTTTATATCTAGTACTAATATGCAATGGGTGGCCATGGATACACTGTCTTGTCTCAATGGGTCAGTATCTCAATAGGTAAAATGAAGAGGGCAGAATGGACAATCTCCAGTCTTTCTAGTTCTAGAATTCTATGATCTACTTTGTGTGCATCACTCATTATTCCAAGAGCTGGCTGAAGCTGAAAATACCAGAACCAGCTGCATCATACTATACAAAGCATGACAGTAAAAAATGCATGGTTAATGAATGAATGTCGGAATAGCTGAATGAATGGAAGTATTGGGTCAAGCTGTCATTCCTAAGGTTAACGGATTTCTTAAACCAAAAAAAAAAAAAAAAAACTTACTGCCATCGAGTTGATTCCAACTCATAGTAACCCTTTTTTGGTTTCTGAGGTGGAAAATCTTTACAGAAGTAGATTGCCCAGTCTTCCTTCTGCAGAGTGGCTAGTGGGTTTGAACTGCCAATCTTCTGGTTAGCAGTCAAAGAAATACCTTAGGCACTAGAGAGCCGTAAATGTCCTGGTACTTTGGAGGTAGTAGATTATAGTTTCCAGAAGATTCTCAAAGGGAACTATGGCTTGAAAAGCATTAATAACCTTGTTTAAATAAATGATTAAGTCAAAGTTATTAGAGAAATTTCACAATTTGGGAAACTGACTCTGGTCATCTGAGACCACTGTCATAAAAGTAACATAGTAACATAATTACTCTCAGAGTGTTCGTCAGAAGTGAGGATGGTGAGACTTCAGCTCATTTACGTTGGACATGTCATCTGGAAAGACTTTTCTTTAGAAAAGAACATCCTATTTGGCAAAGCAGAGAGTCGATAAAGATGAAGAAAACCTTCTGTGAGACAGAATGATGCAACCACATGAATGGGCTCAAACACACCAATGATCATAAAGACTGCACAGGACTGGGCAACATTTGGTTCTGTTGTACATACAGTTGCCATGAGGTAGAACCGACTTTATGGCAACTAACACCACCACCACCACTATCTGAGACTGAAAGCTCGAATGAGTGGGCACCACTCTAACCCAGTATGGTCTTTGCTGTATTTCTTTGGCATGGGAAACATGTCTTAGAAGATATTTTCCCCATTAGAATGGAAAATAAGAAATTTCAAGATACTGTCTTTTTAAATATGAAACAGTACCTTAGAGTAGTATTTTCCATGTGTTCACAATTGATGATGGAAATTGGAAAAGTGTCAACTTATAACCTCCTAGAACAGGACTCTCAACACGTCATATACTGTTTCCTTCCCAACTGGCATTGTTCCCTTCGGGCTGTGTCCAGTGCAAATGGTGTATGTGTGAAAGCCACAGTCAATGCCCAGGGAGAATGACGTGGCATCGTTTTCTGGTTCTTCTTTGGAAACAGAGCTCAAACATGCACTTCCACCATACTTCATGAGGCTGAATGAAGCTACTAGTAAGTAGTCTATGAATTTAGCATGCTTTCTAGAACATAAAACGAAGTTACAGCCTTTGTAATTAAAACGTCAAAATGACCAGCTATTTTGTTGAATTTACTGTAGAAAATTTCTTCTTTGGGGGTTTAAAATATTAAAGAGCAACTTAATGGGGGATTAATGCTAGTGGAATTATTTTACTCTAGGAGAGTAAAAATTGGCTTTAAATTGAAATTGACTAAAAGATAAACAAGAACACAGTCAATCTATTATTCATCATAGAAACAGAAACACTCATACTTTATGTTCAGTGTATTTCTCAACAGCCCTCGGCACACAGTGGCTATTTAATTATTTTTAAAAAAGTATTGTGATACTTATAAATGCAGAAAAATAAGTATTTTCTTATAAAAATAAGTAAAATTTTAGTTAAATCACCTGTAAAGCTATTTTATCATCATTTCCTTCTCATTGAGAGTCAATGAGCTGCTAAACATGTGCATTTATCAACTGTCATCTCTCTTCTTTTTCTCTAAATCAAATAAAAGGCTGATAGACACAAATTTCCATATAACCCATTAATGGAAAATAACTTTTACTGTGTGAGAGAAAGGAGTAGTTGTAAGTTTCTTCTTTCATCTTTGCATACTTTAACCCCCTACCAGAAGAATGAATAATTTCTAATGTTTCAGAAATGTCAGCCCACAGCAGGTCTTTCTAGAACTGATTATTTTACAAATGCATTACCTTATTCAAAAGGGCCAAATCAACAGCAAATGAGTTATGCAGGAAGTTGAGAGTGCTCTGTGTAACAGGAGCTCTAGTAGTATAGTACCTAAGGCACTTGACAGCTAACCAGAAGGCTGGTGGTTCAAACCCACCAACCACTCCTCAGAAGGAGAATCTCGGGCAATCGACTTCTGTAGTGATACCGCCTCAGAAACCCAAGGAGGGGTCGCTATGAGTTGGGTCCGACTCGATGGCACATAACAACAAAAACAACATGTAACAGAGAGTACCTAATTAAATACCAGATATTAGAGTGTCCTATGGCATAAATTATTTAAAACATTCTATACATATAACCACCACTGTAATAAATAAATCTAATACCAAATGACAAATTAAGTCACTTTAATTGTCACTATTAAGTTGTGACTCAAAGACCATAGAGCAGAGTATCACAAGACATTAGATTATTTTAATTTATAACAAGAAATTTTCTTCTTGTGGAAGGAGGAATAAGCATTCCTCTGCTAACCATAAGGTCAATGGTTTGAACCTCCCAGCCACTCCATGGGAGAAAGACAAGGCAGTCTGCTTCCATAAATATTTATGGTAATGGGATGGGGCAATTCTACCCTATTCTATAGGTTTACTAGGATGGCAGTAGGTTTGGTTTTAGGTTTTCAATAAATGATAACAGACATTCTTTTTTCTCCTGTTGCTGGTTAAGAAGAGCTCAATGATTTGGAAAGCCATTCATTTAGAACAATTTACATAAATATTCCTACTGGGAGAAGTACTTTGGAAGTAAATACACAAATTTTTATTTTAAACTCACTCTAAAAGTTGTGAACATTTTCTACTGTCAACATATTTCAATGGGAAAAACACAAACTTACGTGTCATATACATTCAGCAGCCAGTTGAGACACATATCCACACAGAGGGGGACATTGACCAAGTCCTTATGCATTTGTTCAAGGCCGTCGTAGGTTGTTGTCAGACAGTTGATGACATCTGGAACACTGAGGAGCTGATCATTGTGGTTCAGCTTGTGCTGTTTGAAAACTTCATTGGTTGTATTCAACTCTAGGAGATCCACTGATCAGGTGAAAAAAAGGAACGCATACGTTTCTTACATAACACAACACTGAGACAAAACCATTTCTAGTCTCAAATATTTAGCTTGATTCTTCAATTTAAGAAATCTATTACTTTTTACCTAATTTCAATTTCTTTTTAGAGTAAGTGCTATTTCCATTCCGACATTGCTAACTGCCTTTTTGATCCAATATTCCCATGCTTTTGACTCTGCACTCTACCACTTTTCAGTTTTATTTCCTTTTGTGTGTGCGTGTTCTTTGGAATGCTAATTTTTCTTACTTTACTTTTCCAGTTTCTCCTTTTTCCAGGCTCCTCCTACGTTCAAATGCAGAAAGGCATAAATCCCTACATCTACTCCATAAGGCCTAACGTTTCAAATATTCCACTGCTCTCTTCATCTTAATCTCTGAGTATAACCTGCTTACCACCTTACCTCCTAATTCATCTTTTCTATCACTGTCACACTAATAGTTCTCAGGCAGTTTCTCCTTGTGTGCATCAAGAGACATAAAGTTCTTTCCAGATGCTCAGTTTAAAAAAAAAAAAACACAGGTTCTATAGAAAAATAATAGTTCACCAATGCCTACGGAACCAAGTCTGCTGTATGAGGCCCTCACAATCTGGTCCTAACCTGGTTTATTTCTCATGGTGCTCTAGCACATACATCATCTCCAGCTAAGCTGCATTAGCAGAGGTTCACAGGGCAGGCCCACATCCACTGGACTTGAGGCTGATGCTCGCTCCATCCTTACTCCTTACTCCTCATGACTAGAGCATCTACAGTGGGGCATGGCCAGGTACTAGAGCAGCCAGGTGGCCACAGAAGAAGAAGGCAGAGCCCCAAATGCAACTTTTTAACATTTAAAAAAAAAATAAAGTTGAGGGGAACTTTTTACTTTTAGTACAAGCATTTTTTCTCTTCCTGATGCTAAGCTGTTTTCTCAAAAGAGTACAACATATTTTGACAGTTAAATAAAATGAACAATTAATCAGCTTCCTTTGAATTTAATTTTAACCACCGAATAACCACTAATACTGAATCTTGAAAAATGTTTATGAAACATGTCCACATTAGCAGTTTTAACACCAAAGATTTTTTTTTTTTTCAAATTATCTACAATGAAAAAGAACTGCTTTAAAATTATATAGATTAAGTGATTTAAAAGAATATTCAACAGGGAATACATTTAAAAGAGAGAGAGAGAGAGAAAGAGAGAAAGAAATATATAAAACACACAAGTCTGGATAAAAATCCAATCAATTTTCTAGAGATGTCAAATATATCGTTGGTATAACTTAGGCTTACAATAAAAACAACCTATATAAGCTTCACATGAATCAGAGACAGAGTCAGGAAAGAGTCTGAGAACCAGCTGGAATGTTCATGGTTATTTTCATAATGAAATCCCTGGGTGGTACAAATGGTTAATGTGTTCAGCTGCAAACTGAAAAGTGGAGGGTCAAGTCCACCCAGAGAGGCCGTGAGGAAAGGCCTGGCTATCTACTTCCAAGAAATCAGCCCCTGACACCCTGTGGAGCACAGTTCTTCTCTGACACACGAGGTCACCGTGAGTCGGAGTGGACTGCGGCAGCTGGTGGTTTTCACCTCACTTCCTGCAACTTTAGGGTGTTTTGTTTCAAGCTTGTAGAACGCAGGGGCACCCTCCCATTCATCCTCCCCAGGGTCTGACAAAGGGACATGCTTAATAGATGATGGTGGCTGCACGTCCCCAGCCCCCAGATACCAAGAAACAACCTTCCAAACACAGCCAGAATGCTGTGTGTTTTCTGAATTCCAACACTAATTATGCCAGGAACAAAGCACTGCCATTGTATCCCCACATGGCATAAAGTGACAATAGGAGAAAATCCAAAATGACCATTTCCTGGAGCAGGCTGTCCTCGCATTTCTTCCAGAAAACTCTCCTGTGTTAAACACTCAGAGGCTGTCACAGGAGTCTATCTGCAGCATCCCACAGACGATCACGTCTTCAATTTTTAGTGATTCACTCTGACACCTGGCTCAGCCCAAGCCAGGCATACATCTTCCTGAAGTGTGTCACATGTAGGCACCTTTAAAGAACTGACTACACTTAAATCACAGAAAATTAGACTCTTCTCTTTTCAAAGGCAGATAAAATGACAGCGCAGTCATGTGGTAAATGAAACAACCAGCATAATCATTTTCTAACCAGCTTTCAGGCTTTTTCTTTCATCCCACATATGAGGCAGAGAGAATCAAATGGAAATGCATCATCATTCTGCTCTGTAAAATGAACAGCTTCGTACCTGGCCTTGGACTTCTGTGATTCTTCTTGTTTTCTGTCTACTTGACTGTTCCTCCTCAGTCTTCTTCCTATCTCCTCTTCCCCAAGTGCTTCAGAACTATGGGTGGTATTTTAGGTTCCTTATCTTGTGTTCCACTCCACAAGCCCTTATTCATATTCACCTTCATGACTTCAACCACTCCTCTCCAGACAACTCTAGACTCTGTTTTCTCTTCCTAATCTCCCACCCAAGTACCAGATCCACATGTTCATTGCCTAGTTCAAAACTACAGCTACATTATTCTCTTTCAGGAACCTCTACCTTAATATATTGCAAATAAAGATCTCTTCTTGAAACTTTCTTTGTTGGTTACCAGGGGTGAGAGGGCAAAGGAGGGAACACTGTTAGATAGGTAGAGACATGTACTGATTTGGGTGAAGAGAAGGACAATGTACCAAATGTGAGTGATCAACACGGTGGCACTGAGGAAGAGGAAGACATAGAGAGGTGCATGGAATGTACAGAGAACAAAGATGAACTCTTTTGCACATACAGTACCATGTTGTCAGTGAAGGCAAACACTGATATACAGGTGGACAGATGGGTGGACAGGCTGAACTATTAGATACATCTATGCAGAGGGGAGTGTGCCCAAGACCATGTATAGGGTTGGCAGACAATGTTTCTAAAAGTGTATTTGTATATTATTGTAAGAATTCCCAGGTATTTAGTAGAGCTAACAAGGGACAAGGTTGTAGTCACTTGTTGGCCACAGTCAGCTACCCAGAGGGAGCAACTAGTTGGACCTGTGGACTCAGGACTATAGTCACAGGGGACATCAAGCTCAATTCACATAATATACTACACAAAAACATTGTTTCACATCCTACTTTGGTGAGTAACAACTGGGATCTTAAAAGTCTGCAAGCAGACATCTAGATACAACAAGGGTCTCTCCTCATCTAGAGCAGAGAAGAATGAAGAAAACCAAAGATACATGGAAACAATTAGTCCAAGCGACTGGTATACCATGTGATCCTCAGCCTATATGACTATGAGACCAGAAGAACTAGATGGTGCCCAGCTACCACTGTCAACCACTTGGAGGGGGACTGGTGCAGGAGGTCCTGGATAGCGTAGGAGAATAATGTGGAACAAAACTCAGAATCATTAAAAAAAAATAAAAGGGACCAGGTTTGCTGGTGGAAACCAGTGAGCCTGATGGAACCAAGGAGACTATGCCCCCTAGCTGCCCTTCAGGTCTGGAATTGAACCCACCCCTGCAGCTTCCAGTCAAACAAAAGAGAGGCATATGAGCTGAACATTTACATTAGGCAGATACACTCATTGGAGAGATCAATCCTGGGAGAATAGAAGGGCTGTATATGCACAGGGAGACTGCTCTGGGAGCAGGAGTGCATGGGAGGGAAGGACATAGGGAAAACGTAACTGTGGGGAAGAAGTGGGAGGGGAGCTGTTGCACACTGGGAAATTGCAGTCAATGTCATGAAACAAAGTGTATGTAAGCTGCTATATGGAAAGTGAATTTGCTCTGTAAACTTTCACCTAAATCACAATAAAAATAAAAAAAAAATCTCACCTTTTTGTTATGCTGAGATATGGTAATGGTATTACAAATGTCTCAAGATCATGAGTTAGCAAATCCTGAGATATCCTAACTCTTCTCCTTTTCACCTCTCTAATATATCAGCTACCAAATCCCACTTGCTATCATTCTTGTCTAGGCAGTCTTACACATCTGTAACTCACTTCCTTTCCTACCACCACAGCCCAGCCTTGGTTACCTTCCACCTGTTCCCTCTGGCCTTCGATCTGTCTTAGGTATTATCTAAAGCATGTATCTGTCCCTATCTCCAAATTTCTATGAAACAGAAACTGGTTCTATAGCCCCTATTAAGAAACATACCAAACATTAAATATAACACTATGAGAGACGGAGGAAGAAAGGATTGGGGAATCAGAACTCATTTATGAAAAACGTAGCTTCTGAACTCCACCTAACCTGACTTTAAGGCAGGTCCTAGATACCGGACAAACAGCTTCTAGCTAGCTCCATTCACACTCTAACACTTGATATTCCCTGGACTCTGCCTGTGCCTTAGTTCTCACTCATGGAACTCTTTCCCTTCTTGCCCTGGGTTAACAGCCGTGTGCCCAGATCCTGTGTGTCTGTGAAAGCTATGAGACCTGGCTCATTTGCCTTCTCCTCAAGGAAGCCTGCTTTATTTTCTGGCAGAAAGATTTCTCTCCTTTAAAAGTATTTCCTTCTTCTTCTTTTTTTTCCTATTATCCAGAGTCTTTAAACTGTAATACCAAAAAATTTAAGTAATACATGTGTAATTCAAAGAAAAATAACAGAACAGCCACCTATTGATCAATCACATAGCTAAAGAAACAGAATGTTGTCAATACCTTTAAAGTCATTTGTAAAACCTTACTTGCACCTCTTCCCATAAAGGAGGTAACAGCTAACTTTTGTATTTAATTTACATTTACAAAATATATATACATATATTTCTAAATAATACATTTAATCCTGCATGCTATTTTTTTTTTTTTTGCAAGTAACCTGTTATTTTATTTATGCTTTACGTGTAAATTTACAGAGCAGAATTTGTTTTATATTCAACATTTTGTGTACATTTGGTTTCACTCCCCAATTACCATCCCAACCCTAACCCACTCTCCTCTCCTTCTTTTCCGGTAACCCCCGCCCCTGTGCCCCTCCTAGTTACGCACTCCTGTATGTGCTGCATTTCCTCTGTGTGAATGTTGCCCCTCTGGTGCCCTATGGTCTACTGCTCCAAGGGATGCATCTCCATTGAGTGTGTGGGTGGGTCACCCTGGGTTGAGTGGTCTGCATGTACATCTTGTTTACTATTGGGCTGAGAGCCAGCCCCTGGGAGTGAGTTTTATTCCAGGCCCGAAGTATATCCCAGGGCCATAGTATTGGGGGTCCCACCAGACTCCATCCAACCAGTAATTCTAGTCATTATTGTGTTTTTGTAATCCTGCATGCTTTTGAAGTATAAATAAGTTCAATTGAACCTATACCGATTTTTCCTACAATTTGGTTTTTTTAATTCACCTTTATAATTCTAAAATTCAACCACGTTAGTGTTGCTGCCAGTTCTTTTACTTCTGTGGCTGTATCATATTCCAAAATCCAATAACTTTTATTATTCACAATGATGCTATAAGCTACAAACATATCTACAACCTTCTACCTCAAATCATTCAACTCAGTATGTCCTAAAAGACTGCTCTGAGCCAGAAGCTATATGGTTCCTCATGGAGAAGAAAATAGACTCAATCTTCCCATGAAAGCTTAGTCTCTTTAGGGAGATAGAGAATATAAATAATAAATGTAACATTTAAAAATATGTATTGTCTGGAAATGACTTTTAAGCCATGAATCCAACTATCCCATGAAGTCATCTTTAAGCTGAACAACAATTCAACTCACTTAATACTACTGTTCACCTCAAGCACTAAGCTCTTGTAAAGAATTATCTGTATCAGATCAAATGGACAACAGGACTCTAAAACACAGATGAAAACGTTAAGGGTAGAGCATCTAAATTGAGTGAGGTCAACAACATGGGCAGAGAGGGGAGAACGGTGACACAATGGGAAGACTATCATCGCCGTCAATGAACTGTACACGTAAAAACTGCTGAATGGGTATGTTTTGTATATATTTTCATACACATATATACACATACCTACATATATGTACACATACACACGTATATATATACAAGTATATATAAAATGATAAGTGCCATGTGAGGAAAAACCTGGGTCTGTGAGATGGAATAGCAGCAGTGATCAACTTTACAACAGCCACAGAAAGCCTTGTTAAAGGCAGGTGACATTTAACTGGGACCTAAAGGGTGAGAAAGGATCTGCTGTGGGAAGAGCATAAGCAGTAAAAGCTGGGACAAGAGCTTCCAGGCAGAAGGAACAGAATAAAAACAGAGCGTGCCGTTTCAACCTGCAGCTAGGGCTGAAGAGAGCCTCTGTGGGGTGCCGGGAATGTGGCGGACGGCGGGTCACGGAGGGTGAGGCTGGCAGAAGCAGAGGCCATTCTACTCCAAGAGCAACAGGAATCTGTGTAACCAGGTGACTTACTTGTGCCCTTTCTCTCTCTGAAGATTCTTAGTGTGGGAACCAAGTTTCTGTATACTCCTTTATCTCATGCACAATTCTGGAGAGCACTCCACGAATGCACAGTGACAGGAGATGGCATTAGGGTATGATGCTGGCTTTACACAAAACGGGCCACAACCTCTACCTTCAGTCAGTTCTCAGTGGAGACAGGGCGATCCACCTAACAGCCTACTATCACACAAAGGCAAGCACATGTTGCTTACGTGAGAAACTGTCATTACAGGCAATCATAACGTTCTGGAAAAAATGAATGTAGGTGGGATTAGTACGTGAAGACTTCCAAAAGAGGTAAATTTTTAACAGCATTTGGGAGGAATAAAGGGATACAGACAACTTCAGATGAAGGGTCAGGGCATTTCAAGCAAATAGAAAGGATGGGAAAAGGAGGAGTAGCTTAATCATCCACAGATGAGCTCGATAAGTGGTGTAAAGGGCCTACACTGGAAAGCAGTGGGGGCAGAAGGCAGCTGGAAAAGGAGAGGCCAGGTGGTTTTGAGGACATCACCTGGAATGCTTAAAACCAGACACAAGCCAGCACTGTGGGCATTATTAAATCCCATTACTTCAGAGACCGGAGGAATTTCTCTTGTGCTCCTCTCAGGTTTGAAGGGATGAGCTGAACGAGTAAGTTCTCCACCTCCATCCTCTTAGAGGTTAAAAAAAACCAACAGAAGAAAACAGCAAATGTATTCATATGTTTATCCATCCAGAAGTATTACTGAAAACTGGGAGCGTGCTGATTTGATGCAAAGCGTTCTTCAGTCCACGAAGACGTGTGGATGCGTCACGTGTCCTCATTTTATAGCTCATCAGCCCTGAGAAGACCTTCCCAGTCCTGTCAGTTAGACACTGGACCTGCAAATGAGCCTCTTTCCAAAGCACTGTCACCCTGGACTTTGTGAGCAGACTGAACACCCCTGTTGTGTGTCTGTAATTCATTTCCTAGTCTCGTCTGGCTCAACATACAGATCACCAGCCAGAGCATGGTCTTCATTTTTTGTTCTGATACCTCGGCAGCCACTTTCCGCCACACCTCCACTTTGCTAGTTGCCTCTGAGCTCTGCTAATGGTGCAGGTGTCCGAGCAGCTCCTCTTCTCTTCCATTCCTCTGATGGAGCTGTTTTTCAGTCCTTCATCCTTCTCTTCCACATAGTTTGTTTCTGCTTTTAAAGCTTTACATTGCTGTGTTTTCTCTTAAGAATTCTACACTTCTCTTTCCTCAACTCTCTCCATGTAGCCAGCTTAGAATTTATGGCAATTTCTACTGATTTCTAAGGAGATTTTTTAATCCTGACATTTTGCTAAGGGGAATTTTCAAAGCGTCAATGAACTGCCTAGACATATAGTAGACATCTTGTTAAGAAAACGTAACAAGCAAGGATGCATGTTGGAATTATTCATATTACCCTTATTTCAAAAGTTTTGGCAAGAGTTGCTTTCCATATTAACCACCTGACAAGGCCTGAATGTTCTTTTCATAGACTCAATCATTAAAGCTACAACCACAGGTAGAATCCAGAGAGCTGAAATCTATACTCTATTACAGCCATTCATATTTCTATCTAACTTTAGGTTACTTTAAGCCCACCTTTTGGTAAAATGACTTTCATAGAATATCACCCTAAACATGATCTTTGCTGGCAACATTCATATTGATAACATTAACTTGTCTCAAGAGATACTTAGTGAAACACAGAGTCCTTCACCTAATTTTCTAATGTGCCAGTTCAAAGTTGGACTAAGAATGTGATTTTTATAATTAATTATATGATTGTATTGAGTCAAACAGTTTGGGATCCTACACTTACAAATGAATACAAAATACTAAAAAGGCAACTACTTTGATTCTTTGATTTAATCCTTCTAAATTGGGTGGTAGCATCATTTTTGAAAAAGCTTTTTATATCACTCTTGGTTAATTTTGTCCTACAACTGAGAAGGGTGTATATTCATACATTTCAGTACTGCATGTTAATAGGGCAAAAACTAAAGCATCAATAGAAATATGATCAACTCCTCGAGTAAGATACAGGGAAAATCGGATTCCCTCAACAAGTACATGACCCTCTTCATTGATCTTCATACCTTTTTTTTTCCCCTAAAGGCAATCCAAAGAACAGAATGATTAACTTTGGTAAAATAACTTACAACATAGCGCTTTTTGTAGTCTTCGGATTTTGATGGCTGTCCGGTATGCAGAGAAACGTACGTTATTCAGGTCAGCTGAAATGGAAAAGGGAACAATTTGAAACCATGCTTATTTAATTTACACTGAATGCCAAGAACGTATCTGCATATTTCAGATGATGGAAGAATGTCTCACAGCACTAAAAAACTCTTCTTCTAAATTCCACAGCATTTATTTAAGAAAATAAGTGATCTTTAGCACAATATTGAGATGTATTTCAAAGCAATGCTACACAGAAGATTTCAAGAAAGTATTTTTAAATGAGAAAAGGAGAGCAATGAGGAAAAACAAGCAAGCTATTGGCTTTTGATCACTTAGAGAATGCATCACACTCTAGGCTGGGCGCCTTTCTTTCCTCCGCACTACTAAGCTAGACTCTCCTCCAAGGGTGTTTTCCAGGGACAACTAGCTTTCTGTCAACCAGGCTGTCAGTCTCACTTCTTATGAGGCTAGTCTTATTTCTATGTTCCTTCCATCTTGATTTATTTGTCTCTTCTGCCCTTGATTGATCTAGATAAAATTATCCTATAATCAGTATTCACATCTTTGAAAAACAATGGATATTGCAATTTCTCTCTCTGTCCCCTACCAACAAAATATCAGAGACTAGTAACTAACAGATCAGAGGTCCAAGCCCACCAGCCCACTCTGTGGGAGAAAGATGAGGCAGTTTGCTTCTGTAAAGATTTACAGGCTTGGAAGCCCTATGGGGCAGTTATACTCTATTCTATAGGGTCACTATAAGTCAAAATCAATTCAATAGTAGTAGGTTGGGTTTTGGTTTATTAGAGTTAGAAAATTCAGAAATCATCAAAAATTGCCCCCTCCTTTTACAAACTAAGGGAGCTCTGGTGGTGCAGTGCCTAAGACATTTGCCTGCTAATCAGAAGGTTAGCAGTTCAAATCCACCAGCCACTCCACAGAAGGAAGATGGGGCAATCAACGTCCAGAAAGATTTATTGCCTAGGATACCCAGTGGGGGATGCTATGAGCTTTTTTTTTTTTTTTAATTATTATTATAAATTAAGCAAATCACTGTGGCCTTCCCCTTGCTTGTTCAATCTTTGTAGCCCTCGTCACCAACGCAAAGGAAGCTCAGTATTAGAGGCAAAAAGTGGTGCCCCCCTCACTGGAGTGGGAGTGGGGAGCCTAGGGTGCTGCTGTCCCTCTCCAGCAGCCCCTGAACAACCAAAGAAGGCCTTCAAGAATCACTGGCACCAATCAGTTCAGGATCACGATCCACTGGAAATGAAAACAAGATCGGAATTCTCGGCAAAAGCATTTTCCTGTATTTTTATATTGAATTGAATTAAACTTTGACTTGGACAAAACAAAATGAGTGAATTTGATGAGATTTACTAAATGAAAGGTAAATTAAAACCAAACATAAGGTAGCGGATGAGAAGTTGCTATGTTGTAATTGTTTTTTTGCACGAAAATTGAAGTTTAAGATGGTTCTATTCCGAGGGAGGCAAGACCCACAATTACATTCTTTCTTTTAAATCAATTCTCTTTGGCTCACACTATCTCAAACCACTCATTTCTTAAGATGTTAAACTGCTTTTAAATGTCAATGACATGATCTCAAACATAACATGCAATAGTAAGAAAAGCTAGTGAGTTGTTTCTACTTAAGAATATACAGTTCTTTGTTGTTGAGGTTAATTCATCTGTATTAAAATAATAATAATAATAATAATAAACTCACCAAGGGATTGAAAGAGTTCAGTCATTTTTGGATGATCCCAACAGGTTGTCTGTGTTTGATGGCTAAAAAAAAGTAAAATTTCTAAAATAAACAGAATATTCTCAAATAGAACTGGCCCCCCTGCAATATTTTTAAAACTGCAAGCCAAATTATCATTGAATTAAACCACCAGCCTTCTGGTTAACAGTCAAGTACCTTAGGCACTTAAATTAAGTCAAATTATGCCCACAAAGGATCACTCAGAAACCTGATACCCAATCACAGCTTAATATCTAGATTATCAATAAATTTTCTTTGAGCAATTACATTGCGAAAATAGGGATGGAAAAATTTGCTTTACCTATTTCAAAAATAATTGAAAGTAAAAAAATAAAATGTAAAGTGTGACTGTCATGGCCTCATGGCACAGTTGTGAAGTCCTCAGCTGCTAAGCCAATGGTCAGCGAGTCTACCAGCCACTCACTGCCCAGGAGAAAGATGGGACAGTCTGCTTCTGGAAAGATTCCAGCTTTGGAGATGCTATGGGGGCAGTTCTATCTGTTCTCCAGGGTCGTTGTTAAGTCGAGATCCACTCCACAGGCAAAAGATTTGCTTTCTCGGTCATGGCTCCGGGCCGCTTGATGTGGCCAGATCGAGGGAGGCCTGAGAATAATTCCACTTCTGTTAGGGCAAACAAATCCTCTAACAGAGGAAGTACTGGGACAAAAAAAAAAAAACCAACTCATTGCTGTCGAGTCAGATCTGACTCGTAGCGACCCCTCCTTGGGTTTCTGAGACAGTATCACTACAGAAGTAGAAGTAGTAGATTGCCCAACATTTGCTAACCTTTAGAAGTCCTAATCAAATTGCCAAAGAACAGAGAGGGCAGAGTGTAACTAGGTAACATCTCTGCCTCACAACCTACTGAGTCTCCCTCCTCTACAAGCTGGGTGTTTTCCTCAGTTCACCAGTGTCAATTTGACCCTTTCCATTGCGTGTTTGTCCGGGTTTCCCCATTTAGGCACATCTCTCTCTCTCGCCTTCTTCTCGGTTTCCCTGTTAATATATTTTTCAAAATATGTAGTGAAATGTTTTTCTCATGATCCTTATTATTACTTCTCATGTAAAAAGAAAGTCTCACATTTCTGCATCTTTCTCTAAATTCCAAACTAATTCATATTAGTTAGATGTCTTTTGGGACTAAGAAGAGGGTAAAACCGAGAAGAGAAACGTAGAGCTTAAATTAAGTTCTTCATTGTGTGTGTGTGCACATGAGGCAAACAGCTCATAATTTCAATAGGTCACTGGCCTTATTTTTAAAAATAGCTTACTGTCCCTTATCAAAGTTGGAATAGAATAATAACATTTAATGGTACTCAAAAGACTTCTTGGATGACACTCAGTTCTTACAAAACTGTTTAGTAAGCTAAGTGAAATGGCACAGTACTCGAGAGAATGATATTAAAATATTCATAAAATCAAATTCAAGAGAAATTATTTTTTAAAAATAACTATGTAATATATTAAAAAGTGGGGCACATCACTGGGAATTCAACATAATCCCCATATACACATAGGTAACAGAATCCCCAAGTAACTCATAATTTGCTTTGAAGCACATATAAATTTCATATTTGAAATGGGGTATTCAAAACATGCTGGATTTTCTACAATCTCAAACAAAACAATAGAACTGGAATGTGAGTATCTGACTCAATGACTCAGGAAGCATCAAAAAACTATCTGGGTCTCCTCCCTGCTTCCCTTGCCTCCAACAAAGCCCTTCTACCCTGGCTTCCAATGCCACAGAGAAAGTACTGAGGTGGTTTCACCTCAAGTTCTTGTTATTCACAGTGTGGTACAAAGCTCCTTAGAAATGCAGACGTCAGACCCTTCCCCAGCTTTAATGAGTCAGAATCTTCAGTTTAACAAAATCCTCAGGTGATTCACATGCAAATTCAAGTTTGAGACACCCCTCCACCCCCACTGCCAAGCAGTCAATTCCGATTCATAGTGACCCCCACTGGGTTTCCAGGCTGTAAATCTTTATGAAGTAGATTGGCTCTTCTTTTTCCCACAGGTGGTTTGAACCACCAACCTGGTTAGGAGCCAAATGCCTTATCCACTACGCCACCAGAGCTCCTTAAAGTTTGAGAAGTGCTGACTAAGACGTGAATAAGTCCTGGGTGGTTTGTGTTCCACTACTAACCTACAGGCACGCAGCAGCACCTCAGAAGACCAGGCCTGTGATTGCTTCCAAAAGGTCAGTCTTGAAAACCCCATGGAGTGCACACATGGGGTTGTCATCAGTCAGTATTGATTTGACAGCAACTGGATTGGCTTTTACTTATTTTTTGAATAAAAGTTGGGGAAAAAAAAAAAAAGATACCTTCAAATTTTTCTAATAAAATACCACCAGTAAGAATTAAAGTAGAATTTTTGCTGAAAATAGAGTGTATCTGAAGTAAGCCTGTTCTTCTGAAGTCTTAGACAGCCCACCAAAATTCAACTGATCTCATCTCCTCTTCAGGGTAATTCTAATCGCCATGGCAACACTACTGTCCAGAGACAGACATCCAGTCCTTAATGACCAAACCAAAGTGTAAGAACCAAAGTACAGCTGTCAGTAACCCAGAGCCAGTCTTGTGGCTCATAAACAACAAATGAAGGCCCCTCTCTCTCACAGGTGTAGTGCTTTAACCTCAAACAACCCCAATGGAGCCAGGAGGGGACAATACCCACAACTCAGCCAGAGAGTAAGAATTCAGAATGCAAACATGCCTCTGCTAATGGCTCTTTTTAGTGCAACCACTACTAGGAGCTAAGGGAACACACACATTAGGCTAACAGATGGAGGGAGGGAAAGGGCATCCCCCTTTGTGAATTCAATACCAGTTGATTCCTTAGGCAGAATTGCCAATGCTGAAAAATAAACACAGCCTCTGGTTACAAAGTATAACTGCAGCTTACCAAACAACAGCTAAAAAAAGTATAAGATGCAG